GGTGGTTCCAGTCAGCTCAGTGGCACTGGGATAAAGGATAACCAGGATAACTTGGGCACTGGGATAAAGTACAACCAGGAGGAGGCAGGCAGGGTGTGCTAAGGAATTATGGAATCATTCTGGAAAAACCCTCTGAGATCAGCGAGCCCGACCATTCTCCCAGCACCATCAGGGCCACCACTAAACCATGTCCCCAAGGGCCACATCCACACAGTCACTGGACACTCCCAGGGATGGTGATTCCAGCACAGATTCCAGTGCCTGAACATGTAGGATGTGGGATCATGGAATGGTTTGGGTTGGAAAGGACATTAAAGCTCATCTCATTCCGCCCCCATCCATGAGCGGGGACACCTTCCACCATCCAAACCCCATCCCACCTGGCCTTGGACACTTCCAGGGATGGGGCAGCCCCAACTTGGAGTTTGGATGGAGACACTGGAGACTGAGTTTGGGTGGAGGTGAGCCAGACAGGGACTGGGAGACCCAAGCCCCTCCCTCCAGTGCTTCCCTGTGCCTTTGGGAACACAGAGAGCACCTCCCACCCCTTGGCCAGCCTGTGACCTCCTCCCAGGGAGGGCTGAGCCTCTGGACACACGTGGTTTTGTGGGACAGTGTCCCAGGGAGACTGACCCTTGCCCAGAACTGCTGCTCCCAGGATTGAATCCCCTTTGGAGCCTCCTGAGGCCCTTGAGTGTTCTCTGGACTCCCACATCCCGAGTTTTCCCCTTTTATGGGTGTTTTCCCTGGGGTATGCGTAGTCATCTCTCTCCCTTATTATTCCCCCTTCAAGCTCTGAATTACTAGAGAGCAACAAGAAGAAGGAAGAGCTGGAAAAGCAGCTCAGAGAGAGCAATGAAGAGAAAAGGATGCTGCTGGAAGAGATTTCCCAGCTCAAGCGCAGCATCCAGAGCGCCCGGGAACAGAGAGACCCTGGAGAGACCTGGAGGATGAACCCAGGCCTGGAGCAGAGGGAGAGCAGGTCCCTCCCATGGCAGAGCTCAGCAGGCAGTTCAGATGGGAGCCTTAAACAGGTATGGGCAGCTTTGCCACCTGCACCCTGATTTTGGTCACTAATTAGTTCCCCACTAGGGTGGGAAAACCTAAGTGAAGTGGGCTGGAAGCCAGTCCAACCCTTGGGAATTAGGGATGTCTTCATTTCCTTGGGTGGTGCTTTTGAGTGTGGTAGGAACTTGCAGAAAGTCAGTGCATGTGGCAGAAATAAGGGATGTAAATGGGATTTGTTACCCTTTCTTACCCTGTGAGCTGGAAGAGAGAGGCAAGAGTGGGAATCCTTGCCAGGAGGGGTGGGAATGATGGGGGGAACCCAGGATGGGGAGGCTGAGGAGGAGCAAGGATTCTGTGCGAGGGTTTGGATGGGAAGAGAGGGCTGGGTGACCTGTGGGCAGGAGTGGGAGTGGAAAGGAGAGGATTGGAGTTGTGCTGGATGCAAGAAGTAGCAAATCCCTACGGATGGAGCAGAGCAGGACACGAGGGAATGCTGGAAAGGATCCTGATAGAAGTAGGTGAGGGGGAAGAAACCTCACAAAACCTCGTGGATCTCAAGGACAACTGCCACTGCCAGACCCCACAGTGCTGGATCAAGGCCTTTCCCAGCTTGGGGAGTTATCTGGGGATGTACTTAGGAAGGAAAGCTTGACCTTCAGGGGATTCCCTGTAGTTCCAGGAGCAGAGGGAGAGGATACACAGCAGGAATTCAGATCCAGGGGTGACTGGAAGTGATGCTGGGAAGAAGGGCTTTGGTACAAACCAAGCAGAGCTTTTGGTCTGTGTGCCAGGCCCTTGCAGGAAGGTGGAGCTCCAAAAGCCACCCCAGACCGTCGGTGACATCTGGGGGTGTTGGGGCTGTCACAGTGTGTTCCTGCACTGCTGTCAGGACTCCCTGTGTTCCTGTTCCCTCTTGGAGCTGGGCTGGATGTGCTGCTCCTGCTTGGCTGCCTCAGTGAGATTCTGACACAAGAGTTCAGAGTAACCTGGTGGCTTTCTTTGGTTGAAAACGGTCATTTCAACAGGGATTTGTTCCCTCATCTGGGTTTTCTCGTGTTCTCCCTTGACCTCTGGAGTCCTGTTGGCTTCTCTGAGGGGACAGAGAGAGCTGTGGAATCACTGAGCTTGGAAAAGCCCTCTGAGATCACAACCCAGCACTGCCACGTTCACCACAAACCACATCCCCAAGTGGCACATCCACCTGGCTTTTAAACCCTTCCAGGGACACAGAATGCCAGGCTTTGCCCGCCTTCCTGCTCAAATACCCCGAAACACCTTCCTTCCTACCAACCTTTATCCTTCCCTGGGGCTGCTGTCCACGTGACCCGTGCTGTTTGTGCTGCTCCCTCAGGGTGTGCCCGAGGAGAAGTTCCAGCAGCAGGAGGAGAAGCTGCAGCAGCTGCGCCAGGACCTGCGGCGGGTGCAGAACTTGTGCAGCTCTGCCGAGAGGGAGCTCAGGTACGAGAGGGAGAAGAACGCAGAGCTCCAGAAGCAGAACCTGCTGCTCCAGCAGGAATGCACCAAGGTAGGAACAGAGCTGGGCCTTTCAGCTCCGTGGGAATTGTGGCCCCTCTGCCGTGGAAAGAGGCTGGGAGAGCTGGGGGGGGGTTTCACCTGGAGAAGAGAAGCTCCAGGGAGACCTGAGAGCCCCTTGTAGGGCCTAAAGAGGCTCCAGGAGAGCTGGAGAGGGACTGGGGACAAGGGATGGAGGGACAGGACAAGGGAATGGCTTCCCACTGCCAGAGGGCAGGGACAGATGGGATATTGGGAAGGAATTCCTGGCTGTGAGGGTGGGCAGGCCCTGGCACAGCTTGCCCAGAGAAACTGTGGCTGCCCCTGGATCCCTGGAAGTGTCCAAGGCCAGGTTGGAGGGGTCTTGGAGCAACCTGGGCTGGTGGAAGGTGTCCTTGCCCCCAGAATGAGGTTGAGCTTTAAGGTCCCTTCCAACTGAAACCCCTCTGGAATCCCGTGAGAAATTTCCCTGCCTCCAAATCAAATCTGCTGCACTTCCTCCCTGATCCTTCTTTTGCTCCCAGTCCCCTTTCCTATCCAAGCCACTCCACCTGATCTTCGCTGAAGTAAAAGCTCCATTTCTTCTTTGCAAACTCAGGTCAAAGCTGAGCTGAAACAGGCCCGGGCCAAACTCTCAGACTCCACGGAAACCTGCTCATCCCTGTCAGCACAGTGGGAGAGGAGCCAGCAGAAGGTCCGGGAGCTGGAGCAGGAGCTCTCCAAGTGCTCCCAAGCTGACAAGCTCCAGAGCAGCCTGAGGGACAGGCTGGCCCAGGAGAAATCCAGGGCAGGAGAAGCCCAGAAAAAGGTGAGTGTGAGCTCACCTCAGGGGTGTGTTTGGCAGGAGCAGCTCGGGAATTGGTTCCCCCAAAGTCCATTTTGGGATCACTCAGATAAAGGTTGTAGGAAGAAAGTCTGTTGTTAGTAGGAAGGAAACAGAAGCCAAGTGTGATGGCTGAGTATCCCTGAAATGCTGGGACTGAGAGTGGCAGGCACAGGGAGCCTCAATGCTGTCCTTGCCAAGCAGATTTACTGCTGTTTGCTGGCTGGAAATTTCCAACACCTTGTGTTTCCCCTGGCACTGGTTGTGCTGTGCTCCTGCAGGAATCACTGGAACCAGTTTTGAAGTTTACGGGATCTAATTGGG